GAAGAAGAAGAAGAAGAAGAAGAAAAAGAAGAAAAAGTAGGAGTAGGAGGAGAGGATAGACCTATGCGATATGACAAGCCATTGCAGGTGTCTGATTCTGATCCATCCTTTTTGCACTCTAATAAATCCATTGGCCTTCAACCACTTCCGAAGACGGAGACGAAACCACCTCGATTGACGTTTTGTCAACAATTGGAGCACACAAACCACCTGACAGCAGTTCATTCACTGAAACACACAACTCCCTCCTCCATTGTGGCTCTCACGAATAGGAATGCCCTCTTCTTTCCACCCCTGCGAAAGGTGCTTGATCCCACTGGTAAGTTGGAGGACACTGCTCTCACAATCATGCATTTCACACCACCCAAGATTCCTCTGCAGCACAGCAAAGATGGTGAAAGTGACCTAAAGTCGACCGACAAACTCAGCATGCACCTTCGAGTTAGCGACATCAACTCGGCCTATGGAAGTGAGCTGGGAGAAATCATTGGCATCTGCATGCCTCACGCATCGTCATCGGTGTCGACGAAAGCGGATGGCGAAGTAGTTCGGCTCTCTGAACCACAAGCAGTGGATGAGGATATGCGTAGTCACGAGTTGTCGAAATGGAGGACCTTGCCCACTCTCAATTCGCCATTGTCAGGTGGAGTTGTGCCAAGGGATACGTTGGACGTGAGCATCGTGAATTCGGTTGAGAGTTACGCCGCTTACTGCAATAAGGCGTCAGTGCGAAGGGTGGAGGATTTGGCCAGAAGGATTGTTAGATCAGCATTATATGGAATCGTGGAGCAGTGTATGCCTGATATAGAGGGTAAGATAAGCAAACTGTGCCAAGCATTCTGTGAACAAAGAGGCCATTGCAGATACGCTCTTGATGGTCTAGCGGAAGCCGTAGTCGACAAGGTGCTGTCGTGCCTCACTGACGCCCACGGGGACGCACCACAAGCATTGGATGAGACAGTTGAGTGCGGAGTTAGGCGTGCTATGTGCCAGTTGTTGCGCGATGAAGAGGCGCAATGCCACTGGTCTAAACTGCCGAGAGGGAAGGTGTCACAAGAGGGAGGAGGAGGAGGAGGTACAGAAGCGTCGCAAAAAACACAAACGTTGCCCCTTCTGTGCTTCCGTAAGACCCTCCAACTATCCGACAGGGATAAAGTGAGCAGGCAATTGAGGCTGCACGCCGTGGGGGGAGAGAAAAGTAGATGCAGTAGTTCCCTAAGAGGTGAGGTGACCTCTCAGGCGGGGGCAAGAGCTGCACTTGAGAGCTATGAGGAAGAAGGGAGTGTGCAAAGTGATGGAGCCGTTCGTCATCCACGTAGAGGAAGTACTGACGTTGAGGAGGAGAAGCAAAGACGCCAGTCGACAGTAGATGACACTGGTGGGGATGATGATGATGAAGAAGAAGCACAAATTCAGAAGTCAGTGTATGCAGCATTACCTGGGGTGACTGCAGCGACTACTTCAATGGGTCCACATGGTGGCAAGACAAGGGATGCATTTCAGCTGTGTATGCAAAAGGATCGCGTTGCCTCGGAAGGGGAGGAGGAGGAGGAAGAGGAGGAGGAGGAGGAGGAAGAGGAGGAGGATAAGGAGGACGAGGAGGTGAAGGAAGGGGCGATGAGGGAGGGGGCAAGAATTGGACGCCAAACCGAACCATCATCGGAGCAATTGCTGGATCAAGTGTTCACAAATGTGGCCAAACAACTTTCTGCTCAATTGGAAGCCACCTACAAAGCCCGCTCAAGTCCGCAATCGAAGGAGGACGAAATGCATAGGCAAGCACTCTACGTTGTGCAACGTGTCATCTCTAAACTGGCCATTCGAATGTCAGCCGCATCCGCCGCAACACCTAAGTCGTTGGCAGAAAGCAAAAGGGTTAGACGAAGAACTATTAGCATAGCCCGACGAGTCCTCTCCCAATCTGCAGTTCGACCACACTTACGTCATTCTGACTTCAATGTGACGACTAGAGCCACGTATATGGTAAACAGAATTGTGCTAAATGCGTTGAAAGAGTTGTCAAGGCACCAGAACAACAGCAATCAAAACGCTTTCGAGGGGGCGCAGAAGGAAGAGGAGGATGGTCGCATACGTGTTGTTTGGCGACCTCGAGGAATGTCATTGGCACGTGCAGTTAGAACGGCAAAAGTGGTAATCTGATGAGTCACTTGCAGTTGCGTAATGATTAACGCTAAGCACAGGAGACTCGTCGTATGACCAGCCATATTTGTGTGATTTTATATGCCATTTCATATTGCAAGCATAAAGGTGATTGAAGAAGTGGCTATTCTCATTGTCTGGTGGAGACACTCAATACGAGGCGGAAGGAGAGAGAAGCAAACAAGCCATCACGTTGTCATGGGGGAGGAGAGGGGGTAGGAGAACATATGCTTTGACAGCCATCTGAGGAGCCAGTTGTAAATGACAGCTTTCATTTCATACCTCGACTCCACCTCTTTCTTCAAAACACTCCCATGCACACAAACGTACGCCAAATCCTCACTAACGCATACACATGCCCCTCCAACAACACCACCGTCTATCACTCACACTTCCCCACCTCGTACACAAATTACCCGCAAAGTAATTTGGGTGAAGTGAGCTGCAAATCGTAGCAATTGGCGGAGAGTCGGGAGGCGGGTAGGTAGAAGCTCAACTTTACTTGGGAAAGGCAAAATCTGTCACCGTTGTCATGCACTGCATCATCCTTAGCACACAAGCCAACACAACTTTGGTATCAATCACAAGGGAGTCTCTTTGGTCCACCTGCTACTTGTAGCACTTTCATCACCCCTTCCCACGCGCCGACAGATGTTCCAACAACAGCAGCAATGCGAGACAGGAAGAGGAGAAGTCGGTCGATTGGAGCAGTACCGACACCTATGTTGAGCGCCCATGCATGCGCAACAAAGGTGTACTGGCTGATGTCGGCTACGCATAATGCAAGACAAAGCGACCAACACTCTTTCGCACTATGGCACCGGTGGGTGTGAAGAGACACGTCTTGCATCATCCGCACAGTTGGGGTCCGCGAAAGGCCCCTCGCACCGACACCATTCGTGTAATGCTACTATGAAGGCGGTTCGCTTTGCACCAAGTCCCCAAGTTGCATATCCTCACAACACACCGGTGGATGGGAGAGGATGAAGAGTGTGTAGAAGCCTGAAGCAAATGCAAGTTGGTCACTTTGGACACAAGAAGAGGTGTGTGCACTGCAGGAGGCAGAAGCTCAACCCAACTAATTTCGCCTCTTCTTTGTGGAGGTAATACAGTGTTCTATTATTCGTGCGACACCGACGACGACGACGACGAATACGAGCAATCCCACTGCAATCTAGACAGGTAGGATGATAACCCCATCCGCGGCTCCAT